AAAATAAATAAACGTTGAAAAAAAAAAAATCTTTAAAAAAAAAAAAAGAAGCAAAATCTTTTGAAGGCCTCCAAGAGTAAGTTGGAAGCAGAATCTTAATTAAGAGTGAGGGGTGGGGAGCATCTGAGGCACTAGGATCCCTGGGTCTGAAGCACAGAGGGAGGGGCACTTGGTCTTGGAGGAGGTGAGATGGGACAGAGGAAGTGTCTGGGTCAATGCCGACCAATAGAAATAGGATAGGAGGTGTGTAGGTAATTTTAAGTTTTTTTAGTACCCATATTTTTAAAAGTATATGCTCATTGATCAGTTAACACCTGTGTCAATTGACCTAAGTACAAAGTTGTTCTTTACAGCCTTTATTACAATAGCAGAAGATTGGGAACTCCTTAACTATCCATAAATAGGAAGACCTAGAAGTTTAATAGCTTATAGTGCATCTATACAATAGAATGTAAAAAGCAGCAAAAAGAATGAAGAAACCCTTTATGTGGTAACATGGAAAGATCTCAAAGATACATGACATGAAAAAGGCAAAATGCAGAAGAGTGTGTAAAAGATGCTACCTTGTGTGTAAAAATGCCTCTGAAAGGATCCAGGACAAGCTAATAACATTGATTGCATCTGGGAAGGAAGCTTAGGGGTACGGGAGGGAGACTTTTAAATTTGTGTAAATGTGAACCAGTAAACATTATACCTGCTCAAACAATAAAATGTAAACTTGAATACATTTCAATCTTTATTTTCTTTAAGGTTATTTATTTATTTTGAGAGAGAGAGAGTGCACGCACACGCACAGGAGGGAGAGAATTGCAAGCAGGCTCTGTGCTGACAACACAGAGCTTGATACGGAGCTTGAACTCACGAACTGTGAGATCATGACCTGAGCTGATACCATGAGTTGGATGCTTAAAGCTTAACTGACTGAGCCACCCAGGAGCCCCTACATTTCAATCTTTAAAAAGAATGTATTGCCTCAAGGCAACAGGTTCTGAGGCCCTGAAATGAAATTTTGTCAGTGGGCAAGGAGAGTAGGGGCAAATGTGAAAGTAATTTAGGTGGTCAGGACCCAGTGATGGGTTGAATATGGCACAATGGAGAAGATTCTAGATTTCTGATTTGAGTGGGAAAATGGTATATCATTTACTGTACTGTGGAATCCAGGAGATAATGTGTGGATTTTGGAGGGGCTGGTGAGAACGGTAGGGGTTAGGGAGTAGGGAGGGAGAGATTATGGGTCCAGTTTTGCAGAGGCTGTGTGTGAGGGGACTATGGGACATCCAGGTGAAGTTGAAAATTGAGGATCAGGAGAAGCATAGCCTAGAGATAGGTATGGAAGTCATATTTGTGACTGGTGAGTTGGAGCCTTGAGAGTGGATGAGATCACCCTTGGAGAGTGGGTCGAATGAGCTGAGAAGCACCGGTCAGACAGATTTCTGGGGCATTCAATTAAGGAGTAGACCATGGAAGTGAATCCAGGCAAAAGGCCTGTAAAGGCAAGGTGAGAGGTAACAAAAGAACCCAGGGAAGTTGGCATAGGAGAAGCCAAGAAGGCAGAGTTTCAGGAATCAAAGAATGAAATGCTGTAGAGAACCGTCAAGTAAAGATTGAGACAAAAGATAGACTGCTGAGATTAACCATATGGAGGAGTGCTGGGGTGAGATGGAGAGCCAGACTACAGTGTGCCGAGCATGCAGATGGACAAGAGGAGAGTCAACTCCTTCATACTACCCACGGAGAGAAAGAATAGGAACCATTGATGGAAAATCGGGAAGGCATTTGTTCTTACTGTTGTTTTTATTTTTAAAAAAAAATTTTTTTTTTCAACGTTTATTTATTTTTGGGACAGAGAGAGACAGAGCATGAATGGGGGTGGGGCAGAGAGAGAGGGAGACACAGAATCGGAAACAGGCTCCAGACTCTGAGCCATCAGCCCAGAGCCCGACGCGGGGCTCGAACTCACGGACCGCGAGATCGTGACCTGGCTGAAGTCGGACGCTTAACCGACTGTGCCACCCAGGCGCCCCATTACTGTTGTTTTTAAATTGGAAGAGACTGAATGGGGCAATATGTTCCTTGTTTCTAATTTCTTTGGGCTTAAGTGAACCCTACTCCCACTGCCAAGTCTATCCCTAGGTCTTCAAGGAAAATCCCTAGATCTGAAGGAAAAACAAGTACAACAGCATCTAAAGCAAAAGCCCACTGGAAGCCCATAGCCAAGCAGACACTGAAGCCATCCTTCTTTTGTGAAAACAGCAGTGCCCTCTAAAGGCAGAAATGTATCTTGTCGTTGCATTTTGGGATTCTATTGGACTTGCTGCTTTTCCTGATTCTTAAGAATGATTAGTGCTCTGGGGGGGCGCCTGGGTGGCTCAGTTGGTTAAGCATCCAACTTCCACTCAGGTCATGCTCTCATGGTTTGTAAGTTTGAGCCCCACGTTGGGCTGTGTGCTGACAGCTCAGAGCCTGGAGCCTGCTTCGGATTCTGTGTCTTCCTCTCTCTCTCTGTCCCTCCCCTGGCTCATGCTCTCTCGCTCTCTCATTCTCATAAATAAATCAGTAAATCAATAAATCAATAAAAGAATGATAGTGCTGTGCTGCTGTCGATAGTGCAACAAAAGTTTTCTGCAACAGAGGCATTAGAAATCATTTCAGAGGCCTGAAGGCAACTATGTGGGCAACAAAGGTGAGCAACTGTATCTTCAAGCATTGCCATCATCATTCTCCTAAAACTTGCCAGTCTTTAATTCCTCCCTATTAGAGGGACAATTTTTAAGATACATTTTTTTAAGAGTTTCTGATTTTTATCCATAATACCCCCCCCCCCAACTTTTTTTAAGTCTTATTTATTTTGAGAGAGACCACAAGTGGGTGAGGGGCAGGGAGTGAGAGAATCCCAGGCAGGCTCCATCCTGCCAGCACGGAGCCCAAGGCAGGGCTCAATCCCAGGACTGTGAGATCATGACCTGAGCCAAAATCCAAGAGTCAGCCAGCCGCTCATCTGAATGAGTCACCCAGGCGCCCCTGACATTCCGCTTTGTACTTTGATCAAGGATATTTATCACAAACTTAGTAACACACACTCTTCACTGGCACAAGCACAATTTCTTCTTTCTTCAGATACCCTTCAGGCGTCTTCATGCACTCGTAAGTCCGGTTTTTCCTCATTTTTTTTTCTTTTGAATGCAGTGCTCAATCCTACCTCTTGGTTTCATCCTCCTCTCCTAGATATGTAAAAGCTTGCTCCATGTTTCAAGGCCTGGCTCTGCCCTTGCCTCTTCCCTTAAAGGTTTCCCTGCTGTTGTCCACATAGCTCTTTTCTTTCTCTGAACTACGGGGAAGGTTTCAACTGGAACCTCTCTGTGAAGGATAGAAGGCGAACAGCAACAACAGCAGCAAAAACAATGTGTGCTTCTTCACCAATGAAATTAAAAACTACTCAAGATCAGAAATCATATTTAGTCTTCCTATGGTGTATTCTTACCAAATTCCCTGAGAAACTAGTCCGTGCTTATTTCATCGTTTCTATTCATTCCTAGAAGCAGGCAACCATATTTGGGAATGACAAGTTTATGCTTGGAAACACAAAACAGAGTATAAACGGCTAAAGACCCCAGGGGCCTAGAGGATGGACTTTTCCAAGGTAGAAAGTGTAAGTATCTACACATGATGAACTTTGATCAGCACATGAATAGTTTTTCCTGTAACAGAATCCTGGGGTCTTTAGTTCTACTTGGCATTCTTCTTTGGTTTTAATAGCCCAATGAAAGTTTTTACCTTGCACCATGTGAGAGATGGGCAATCAAGAATGTGCTAATGTAAGCAACAGAGTCAACATGAGAATGGGCGTGGTTTGTTTGTTTGTTTGTTTGCTTTTTAAACAAACAGAGCTCAATGGGGCTTGAACTCCTGACTCTGAGATCAAGACCTGAGCTGAGATCAAGAGTCAGACACTTAACCCACTGAGCCACCCAGGTGCCCCAAGGATGGGTGATTTTTAAAAAAATGTCATCTCAGCATCGTTTTGATTCTATCTACTCATTCAGCAATTCTGCCTTTGCAGGATGAGTTGGGGAAGATAGGAGAGGACTGAAAATCAGAGAATAGAGAAAAGGCACCTCGTGTGTTTAAACTGAAAATGCTATGTTCAGGCTTGTGTCCTGAAATAAACCATTGAAAGTGGGTCCTTACTGGTAGATGGGGAGGTGTAGCTGATGAGGTTCATGTGCCCATGTCTCCTGTTTCGTCTAGTGAAACCCCGCAAACCTTTGGAGATTGGAGGCCTCTCTGGGAGTTTGGGGTCATTTTGGTTTGTGACCTTTGGACCTTTTCAAGTGTTAATCTCCAACCCTTCATCTCACCCTGAATTAGAAGTTCATTGGCCTTCAGGGAAGTAGGGTAGGGTCAGTGTTTGCTGGGACATTTAGTATTTCAAGTATGTCAGGTACACAGATTAAACAAACACGTGTTCCCCTTCCCCCTCAAACCTAGTGCTTTTCGTGGAGTTTTTGTTGCTATGTATTTATTAGGCTGTAATTGTTATCAGTAATTCTGTAGTCGTTCATTTGCAATTTTTTAAAAACCATTTTATTTATCACAGGGTCCTGGAGCAGTGGCTTACAGTGAGAAATCAGGTAGGATCACCTCACTCTTGTGTCGGCGGACCTCTGCTTAGGCCTTTCCTCCTTGGAGAAAGGGGAATCTAGAAGCAGAATGTCTCCTCCCTCCCCAGGTGCTCAGGTGTGAGAGGGCATCATGGTGACCCAGCACATTCCTCAGAAGGGAGACTGCTTCAGGGGCAGTGTGACACCAGCAGGCGTATTCTCTTAGTGCTCCCATTGATCTTTTGCTTTGCCCACCAGATGTGAGACTCTTCTGACCACAGCCCCAGAGCTGATAGTGGCCAGAAGTGACCCACTGATTGTCCTTGTGCTTAGCAAGTTGTATGAGCCGAATGGAACCTGCCTAATCACAGGAGTGGCCCACGTGAGATTTTTGACCAAAGCACAGGCCAACTTGATTTGACTATTCATATGCTGCCACCAGAGACTGAGGCCACCAGAGATCTTTCTAGGTGGCTCAGATTAAAAATGGGAGTTGAAGTAAAATGTAATTACTTACTATTTTATCTGTTTTGTGACACACATTTTTTCACATCTCTGAAATAGGGTTACTCCCTAACGGTCAGTAGAGTGCCTTGGCTTAACTGGCATCGTTGTTTCCTCTCTCAGTGGCATGTGATAATGGTGGCTTAGGCTTCATGAAATACAGTGTCACGGGTTTCTCCAGGAAGCAGAAACTGAGATGGAGTTAGGGGTACACAAGGTTTATTGTGAAAGGAAAAGAAAAGAAACCAGACTGGGTGGTGGAGACTACAATGAAAACCTGGCAGAGCTCTGCCAGCCTGAAAGTACCCATTACAGAAGCCCTATGTTGAACGTGAATGACTGGGCTCAGCCGTTGATGGGTGCCACCCTGAGGATACTGTGACCTTGGCTGGAAAGCTGACATGGACCCTGAGGGATGACTAACAACTGGAAGCTGTTACCTTACCCTATTCCTCCCTTTATAACTGCATTGAAGTTTGGGGGAGGGGGGGTCCGAGCAGCACATCTTATCTGCCACATATACAATAAAAATACTTCTTAGGTTTAATTCCACCAGAATTGTGCCATGAAAGTAGAGTATGATGAAGAATCATTTACTGTAGCACTATCAGTGCTCCACACACTTGCTGGACCGTGCCCCCACAGAAGCATTCTCAACCAGTGACTGATGGAAGTTGAATAAATATCAGGTTTTACCCCTCTGGTGGTAGAACTGAGACACATGATCTGCACTGCCCCCTAGTGAAGTGAAACTTCATTTGCTTTGTAACACACCCTGTATTCATTTCCTTCCTTGCAGGTCTTACTTCCTTTTCACTCCGCCCTCCTCATCCTCACCCACCCCTGGTGTTTTCTAGGGTCACCTCCCGAATAAACTTACACTCAAATCCTTATTTCAGAGCCTGCTTTAAAAGAACACAAACTGAGACACTGACAAAAGCAAACAAGTTAGGAATAAAGCCTCCATATATATTTGACTCATAATTAGGTCCTTTCCCATACATAGGCCTGAAGCATGGGTTCCCAGAGTCACCGTATTTACATAGATTTTAAGAATTCGGGAGTCCCCATACACATAGTTTTCTCACCACCATCACTGTAACATACCATTTACTGAGTACTTACTGTGTGCCAGACACAAAACTAAGCACTTTATAGATGACCTCTCATGAACAACTCTTGTATATCCGTGGTCTAGTTACATGTCTGGTTGAAAAGGAGAACCAGGAAGGGGGCGAGAGGAAGTTCATCTCTTTTGCACGTGGGAAGCTCAGTGTCCTGGTGTGAAATGGAATTATATCCTTTGCAAAGGAACCCTTGCTCATTTATTTTTTATTTTCTCTCCTTTTCCAGAGACTGCCACTCTTGAAGAAGGCTATGGTTGGCAAATTCCCATTGATCACAATGCCTTCACAATTTTAAAAAATAATGAGAGTCAGCTGTGTGAAGTCCTTCAGAATAAATTTGACTGTATCTGTACCCTCATCTCTCCGTCCCCAGAAGGTAACAGTGAGTCTCTGCAAGTCTTCAGACAAATGCTCATTCCTGGGTTGGAGTTATCTGTTTGGAGGGATGACCTCACCAGACACACTGTTGATGCTGTGGTGAACGCAGCCAATGAAGAACTTATTCATGCGGGAGGCCTGGCCCAGGCCCTGGTGAATGCTGGAGGCCCTGAAATCCAAGAGGAGAGCCGAAGGTTTATTTCCAGATTTGGTAATATACCAACTGGTAACATAGTTATCACAAGAGCAGGGAGACTTCCCTGCAAGTTAATTATCCATGCTGTTGGGCCCCGGTGGGTGGCAAAAGATCGTCAGAGATGTATCTGTAAGCTGCAGAAGGCCATTAGAAATATTCTGAATTATGTCACCGAGTCAGACGTTGAGACAGTAGCGATTCCAGCCCTGAGCTCTGGGATTTTCCAGTTCCCTCTGGACTTGTGTACACAGACCATTGTGGAAACTATCAGTTTTTATTTCCAAAGGAAGCAACTGGCTGGTAATTTGAAAGAAATTCACCTGGTAAGCAATGAGTACCCTACTGTTGTTGCCTTTAAAAATGCTTCAGAAGTAATCCTAGGGGTGAACAAGCCAGGATCCCGGGTGAATCAAGAAGCCACCCCACCTGTCAACACGATTATTGTAAACAATTTGACTCTCCAGATTGTCCAGGGCTACATTGAACAGCAGGAGGTAAGTCTTTGTTTCTGATCTCTTCCCCTGCCAAAGGAGATCCCTGATTACCTACCAAGTATTTTTTTTTTAATGTTTGTTTACTTATTTTGAGAGAGAGACAGGCAGGTATGGGGAGCACAAATGGGAGAGGGGCAGAGAGAGTGAGAGAGAGAATCCTGAGCAGCCTCTGCACTGTCAGTGTGGAGCCTGACTTGGGCTCAAATTCATGGGCTATGAGTTCATGGCCTAAGCCCAAATTGAGAGTTGGACACTTAACCAAATGAACCACTCAGGTATTTTTTCTTAATACATACTATTTCAGATGCTGTTGAGAAAGCATCTTGTTAAGGCTAAGAGTATGAACTTCAAAGATAGTCCCTCTGGATTTGAATGCCAGCTGTGCCATTTGCTAACTGGGTGATCTGAATCGAGTTCATTTATCTTTTGGTCCTGGGTCTCCTCACCTGTAAAATGAGAATAATCATAGCACTTATATCTTAGAGCATGAATCAATACACATAAAATGTTTAGAATAGAGCTTGGCACATGATAACTATTTATGATTATTATTGTCATTATTCTTAGGTAGCACGAGGAAATGGAACAATCTTTGATTCCAAGGAACTTGAAATCTATTATACTTTTTAAAAATGTTTATTTATTTATTTTGAGGGGGAGAGAGTGTGAGTGGGGAAGGGGCAGAGAGAGAGGGAGAGAGAGAATCATAAGCAGGCTCCACACTTAGCACAGAGCCCAATGTGGGGGTCAATCTCACGACCGTGAGATCAGGACCTGAACGCATATTGAGAGTCAGATGCTTAACAGACTGAGTCACCCAGGCGCCCCTATTATCCTCTTTTTATCTAAGAAAAAAATTCTCTATTTGAAAAATCCCATCGGGGAAACAAACCATCTGAACATTTCTGAAGCAACCTATCACTATTAAACAAAAAAGTCTTAATACAAAATAAATTCGCAGTATTTAAGAGTATGTAAATTTGTGACAAGAATGTAGTAGACCAAGAAAGATTACTTCAGGAGACATGGGTTTTGAATTTGATCTCAAGTTATGATGGGTATGAACTGATGAGAGTGGCAGCCTGGCTGCTTAGAATGACTTGATCAGAGAGACACAGAAGTGGTTGACAGACTGAAAATAATGGACTAGACAAGTCAGGACTGGTCAGGACCAGTCAGGAGATCTGGGTGAAGCTGTAAGTTGTATACTTAGTATACTGCTCTGTGTCAGGGGTTGTGGAGAATACAGAGGGTAACTTAGCATTTAGCCAGGGCTCATTGGGCACAAAAGTGAGGGCCCTGGCAAGGAGGAGAGAGAATCAGGGTAACCATGAACCTGGATATTTCTGGGTTAGTGAACCTCCCCTGTTGGGCAGAGCACCTTAAGGATGGGGATCATGACTTGTTCATCTCTGTGGCCCCAGGGCCCAGTCTGGGCATGCATGCATCTAGGTGTTCAGCAAATTATTGATGAAAAAGTTAAGGGGCAGCAGGGAAGAGGAAGAGAAAGAATATAAGGCTATATTCTTTTTATTTCTGACCAGTGATGTCACACTTAAGTTTCTCCTATGGCCACAATCAAATAGACTTAACCATAAGTGAGAAAATACCCCAAATCGCCAGCAAGACAATTAGAGAAGAAGACTGAGGGGACCCACCCCACAAGATGAAACATTTATTCAATAAGTCATTAATATGCCACTTAAAAAATTTTTTTTAAGTTTATTTATTTTGAGAGAGACAGACAGTGTGAGCAGGGGAGGGGCAGAGAGCGCGAGGGGGAGAGAGAGAGAGAAACCCAAGCAGGCTCCGATTATCATGCAGAGCCCAACTCAGGGCTTGAACTCACGAAACAGTGAGATCGTGACCTGAACCGGAACTGAGAGTCACATGCCTAACCAACTGAGCCACCCAGGTGCCCCATTAATATGCCACTTTAAAATTAAAGTGGAGGGGCGCCTGGGTGGCTCAGTCGGTTAAGTGTTTGACTTCAGCTCAGGTCATGATCTCACGGTTCATGAGTTCAAGCCCTGTGTCAGGCTCTGTGCTGACAGCTGGGAGCATGGAGCCTGCTTCAGATTCTGTGTCTCCCTCGCTCTCTGCCTCTCCCCTGCTCACACTCTGTCTGTCTCTCTCTCTTTCACAAATAAATAAACATTAAAAAAAACTTTTTTTAAATTAAAGTGGAGATATCCTAGTTGAATAACTTACCCCTTTCAGTTTACTTTTATTTTTATAAAAGTAAAATTTTATTCTGTTTACTTACTGCCAGCACCATTAAGGACCTTAAAATTTTATTCTATTTACTTATTGCCACCACCATTAAGAACCGTAAAATTAAAAAAAAAATTTTTTTTAATGTTTTATTTTTTGAGAGAGAGAGACAGAGTGTGAGTTGGGGAGGGGCAGAGAGAGAGAGAGGGAGACACAGAATCCGAAGCAGGCTCTAGGCTCTGAGCTGTCAACACAGAGCCTGACTTGGGGCTCGAACCCACAAGCTGTGAGATCATGACCTGAGCCGAAGTCAGACGCTTAACTGACTGAGCCACCGAAGCGCCCCAAGAACTATAAAATTTTTAAAGGGTGCCAGTGCCCCCAGATTGGAAATTCCGATCACACTTTCAAAGCGAAGCATTCATTAACATCCATGAAAAGTACCTGGGTTGCCCGCAAAGGGGGCCAAAGCCACCAGGATGATTTAGGAGGATTTGAGCATGAGGGGAAATAAGGCCACCACCCCCTGTCACACAGCTCTCAGGGCTGCCTAGGAGGTGATTTTACTGAAAATACAGCCCATGTGTATGTGCAGCTCATTGCTGAAAGGACAGATGAAGAACTGGTAAGAGCAGTTGCCTGTAGGACAGGTGGGTGAGTGAGGCATCCAGGGAACCCAGCACGAGGGAGGCCTATTTCCGCTGAAGACTTTTTTCAACTCATTTGTACTTTCTTTAACCATGTACTGCTTACCTTAAAAATAAAAACATCAGGGGGCGTCTGGGTGGCTCAGTCAGTTAAGTGGCCAATTTGGGTTTAAATTATGATGTCACAGGTTTGTGAGTTCCAGCTTTGCTGCTAGGCTGGAGCCTGCTTCAGATTCTGTGTCTCCCTCTCTCTCTCTCTGCCCCTCCCCCACTCACACTCTGTCTCTCTCAAAAATAAATAAACATTAAAAAAATTTTAAAAATATAAATAAAAACATCAGGAGGTAGAAGTTCGCTGAGAAATTTTATTTCTACTCTCTGTAAAACAAAACAGAATTCACACAAAAATAGTAAAATGGGGCAGGGAATGAAACCATTTCTTGATAAAGGTTAAAGCAAATCACAGGAGATGCTTAGAATCTTGGAATATAGAGGGTATAAGGCAGCAAGGAGCTGACAGATGTTTGCAATAAAAATTGTATAATTTATACATTTTACCTAATTTCTGAATCGGACAAATGGACTCATGGCAATCAAATGGTCATTCTTTGGACTTAAGAGTTTCTATCCACTGTCAAATGATATTTTGTGAATTTAGGGTCTTCAACAGTATTTTTAAAAGCGCCTCAGCAAAATAAAGATTTAAGAAAGAGTAATTTAACAAAGATTCCTGTCCATTTTTTTTCTTTTCAGACAGATGTAATTGTTAATTCTGTAAATCCACTGTATGGTCTTAAGTTCGGACCTGTTTCGACATCAATTCTACAACAAGCAGGAGAAGAAATAGAATTGGAATTTAACCAAAAAATTACTGAGATACCTCAAGAGTCTCAGTTGGTACTGATCACAAAAGGATTTAAATTGTCCTGTCAATATGTATACCATGTGTTATGGCATTTAAGATACCCCAAACTGACAACAGTAAGTGCAAAATAAGTTTCTCTTTACATAGTTCCATAGTCTGTGTAGTCTTTCTGGATTTCCATCATGTCATTACATTTATGAAACGTTGTTAAGTGGGATAGTCCTCATTTTCTACCACCCTGAAATATGGAAAAGGTGTTGTCACAAGTTATCTTAAGAAGTTTAAGGGACGCCTGGGTGGCTCAGTTGGGTAAGCATCCGACTTTGGCTCAGGTCATGATCTCACGGTTCATGGGTTCGGGCCCCACCTTGGACTCTGTGCTGGCAGCTCAGAGCCTGGAGCCTGCTTTGGATTCTGTGTCTCCTTCTGTCTCTGCCCCTCCCCTGCTCATGCTCTGTCTCTCTGTCTCTGTCTCTCTCAAAAATAAATAAACATTAAAAAAAATTAAAAGAAAAGAAGTTTAATTTAAAATATTACATAACCCATGTCTAGATTGTAAGTGAGCAAAGAGACGTGGAAAGAGCAGGGCTCCCTCAGTCTACACACCCACTCACCTCACCACACCATGACCCTGTCAGCCTTTTCCTAAGAGGGCCTGGAATTCAGCCTCTCCATATTTCCCTCCATCTGTTAAATGCCAGAAGGATCTGGGATTTCCCTTCCAGCATTATTCCAGGTAAATCTATTACCTAAGGTATCTTCCCACCTATGCCTGTGGTAGAGAGAGATTGGCTTTCTGGCCAGCTCTTCACCTGAGGCACATACAATGTACACATTAAAGAGTAGTTGGGGCGCCTGGGTGGCACAGTCGGTTAAGCGTCCGACTTCAGCCAGGTCACGATCTCGCGGTCCGTGAGTTCGAGCCCCGCGTCAGGCTCTG